AAAACAATAAAAAAACCACAATCCCCCACCCCAAAAAAAGGAAACACCTTCAAAAAAAAAAACATCAAAAATAACCCAGGAGCTAAGAGCATAAAAGTTATAAGGAAGGAATATATTTTTTATGAACTGTGTCTCTGCTTTAACATCAAATGACTGCAGATTTACATAACATCCACATTTTTAGTCTGAAAAAATGAAACTTCACCAAATGACCTCCTTGTTGTTCAATTCACTGCAGCTGATCAAACTCTTTAACCAAGACATCTCTCGGACAATGAGGGGCGAGGAGCAGCTGTTGGGAGATGAAATCAGRCTGTTCACGAAGATCCGCAAGGAGTTCCGGACGTGGGGAGTTGTTCTCCTGGAGTGTGCTGCAAGGGGTGAGCACAGAAACCATCCTGGCAGCTGGCCTGACAGCACATTCCCTGATTTTAAACCTAGATATGGCATCTTCAATAAATATTTTGCAAGAAAATGAAGAACAAGATCCAGGAGCATCGATCTGTTGTGGTGTTAGGCGAGTTATGCTTTGGTCCTTGGGGACACAGACAGAATTTGTGTTAATTTTTGTCATTACAGAGAGCTCAGTGCTTGTCTCTCTTCTCACAAAATCAAGACCCTGGCACAGAATTTGTTGGTGATTTTCTGAACCTTTCTTCTAAGTGACAGTGATACCAATTTATAAAGAATAACAATCTGTCTAATCATTTATTATTATTACTGTTAATGCTGCAAATTTATTATTATAAATATTGTATTTATTATTGTAATAATAAAATTACAGCATTAACAGTAATATATTTTATTATATTTTAATTTTTGTTTTATATTATAATATTTTATTAATATTTTAGAATCTGGATGAGGTTTGTTCCGCTTTGGCTCTGGTTTAAGGTGTGTGATATCTCATACTAAAAAAATATCTAGCAAATTTCTATCATAACAACCAAGAAATACTTATATTTCTGTGATATCTTAAATAAAAACAGGTAGTCAACAGTAAATTCCCTGAAAAAATTGTTTAGTGAGCTTGGAGGTTTGTTTTATTCAGGGTTTTTTTTTAAACTTGGAAGTGACTGTGAGGCTAAAAATACCAGGCAGAACCAGTATTTTTGTGCCCCGTCATAATTTCTGTCAGTGAGATGCTTGATACAGCATGTGAGGTGGCTCATCCCCTGAGCAACAATGTATTGGCTCCGTTCTGTAGTAATGAAAGATCATCTCAGTTGTTCCTCTCAAGAACAACTCAAAGAAGAGAAWTAGACTTCCTTCTTAAACCTGAAACATAAATTGAGTGATTTACAAGCCAAGCAATGTTCTTTTACCATTACAGCTAAGAAAACCGTCCCCAGTAAAGTGTGGAAATACGAAGATCAGTACCGTGGGCGGGAGTTCCCAGGCTTCAGCAACTACAGGACTTTTGAGGACATMATAAAAGATCAAATCACAGAACTGGAGGCGCCAGCAATGGAGGTCCTGAACAACGTGATGGGTGAGTCCAGGAGGCTYCTGTGGGGGGACACTGCTGGGCCTGACAGGTTTATTTTCCAGGGGAAGCTGATGCTCTCACTGATGCTCTCAGGATACTTCAGAGTGGGGAAGTTAATCTGGTTCCGCCTGGGGATTGCTTCTTTAGAGTGTTCAGTCTCTGCATGTGGGTCTCCAGCTTTTGTTAATGCTTTTCCTCTCTGAAGGGAGTTAGAAAATAACACAGTAAGGAAACAGTACAGTGGAAGTATCTGTGTTAAGGGGTCACAATCTTGCAGCTGGAAATCTAAATCTCTTCTTGTTTGTATCAGTCACAAAGGCAGAGTGCACCAGTACAGCTGCTCAGCTATTTCTGAATGAATACAGAAAATGAGTAGTCGCCCAAATCTCATATTAATAACTTAAAGCCCTTGCTTACTTGCCTGACTTGATTTTGTCTCTCTGTTCTTCCCTTAGAACTGGTTGAAGATAAATTTATGAAACTTGTTGCAAGGAATTTCACTAATTTTCACAATTTAAGCAGAGCTGCCAAGGTGAGGCACTTCCCTGTAACCTGAAATAAGTCAAAAGACAGAATGGCWTTAGTAAATACGTCCATGCTTATGGTACCTATCTCATTGCATTACCCTTATGGAAGTGTGGGATTTCTTGCAGAAAAATCAGGAACATCTTGAAAATGATAGCATGATTATAATGGCACTAAAGAAAGTGCATTTTGCACAGCTTTGGCAAGATCTAATATATACATTCTTTATTTTGTTCACATTCTTGATTTTTGCAACACAATGCAAAGAAAACCTGGTACAGCTACCTTGAAGAGTTTCTAATTAATTTCTGATTTAAGTCCTGCAATGATTAGTCAGAGTGCTAAAGAGTGTTTTTCCCTCTCTGAAAGCAAGCCGGAGTTTTAGCCAGAGGTAGAATCTCATCTTTGATTAAAAGGTGCAGAAGCAGACAAGCCCAAAATCATCCAGCTATGAAAAACTAGAAGATGACMATTCACAGTTCAGGCATGAGCATGTTTTGGGGTGAAGTTCACTGATGTGGATGTCCTCGAAGGTCTTTACTCAGAAAGAGCTTTGAGGAAGAGATGAGAAGCAATGTTGGCAGCCAGGAAACAGAGTCCATTCACAAGCTACTGCTGAAAAAAAATGAGATGAAACTGTGAGCAAAATATAGGTGGTTTGCCGGTCAAACTCTACTGAGCTCCCAAGCCAACCAGACAGTGAACAAATAAATTATTTCTTCCAAACACAGAGGTGTTCAGGCAGAGTCTTTAGGTGCAACACAGAGGGAGGATTGAAGAGGGAAGAAGTTCTGGCAGACACTGGACACAAGAAAAAGGATGGGGTGTTTTCTTAGGGGTGCTAGGAAAGCATTTTAAGGGAATTTGAGCATGACTGAGGGAACTTTGCTGSCCCCACAGACTTTTAGGTGGGAGTATCCAAAAGGCCAGAAAGCATCAGATGGCTGCAATAAAAGCACCAGACAGGGAGGGGTTACACAGGGTTGGTTTGCTAACAACAGATACTTTCCTTTGGATTTAAAGCACCAGGTTTTGACTGATCCCACCCCTGTGTAAGGAGGGGACTAAACTGCTACATTTCCCTGCTCTTTCACAACAGAAGACACAGAATCTAAAGCATTACCACTCCATGTTCCCATGGTCTGGGATTAGATTGTGCTACATTAGGGCAGTTGAACACTGTGCCCACCTTGCCATCCCCTGGGGACACTGCTGAGCACTGGCACTTTCCCAAAGGAAGCAAATGGCTTAGGACTTCTTGTTCCTTTCTTTTCTAGATGATAATTGAAGACAATAGAGAGACACAAGCAGCAGAGGCTGAAAGACATATCCGGGCCCAGTTTAAAATGGAGAGAATCGTGTACTGCCAGGATGACCTTTACATTTGTGATTTAAATGCCATTAAGGAAGAAAACGCTCCCAACAATACTGTGGGGAAAGATCGAGCCATTTTTGCTCCAAAAGAAGAGCCCTCTGTTGTCACGGAAATGCTTTCTCACACCAAGGCCTATTTCTCTGTGAGTTCCCAGACTGTGATACAGCAAATTTGCTGTCCCCTGAATGTCATAGCAGATACCCATCAACCATCTTTCTGGAGTCAGTGTAGCCTTGTGGGAATGCAGGGAAGAGGGTTTCTAAGTGTCTCATTCAGGTTCATGCTCAGCTTCTGTTCAGATTGCTTGGAGATTCTGAGCAGTGATGAAAGTGTCAGGACAAAGCTGGGCTGTATCAACACAGTCACTGGGGAGAAACRGTTGCAGGATGCAGGATACAGGATATGATATATATTTCTATTTACATTTATATTTATTATATCTACCAGGAACAGTGTGGCCAGCAGGAGCAGGGAGCTCATCCTTCCCCTGTATTTGGCACTGATGCGGCCACACCTTGAGTGCTGTGTCCAGTTCTGGCCCCTCAGTTTGAGAAGGACCTTGAGATGATTGAACATGTCCAGGGGAGGGCAAGGAGGCTGCTGAAGGGAGTGGGACACAAGCCCTGTGAGGAACAGTTCAGGGAGCTGGGGTTGCTCAGCCTGGACAAAAGGAGGCTCAGGGGTGACCTTATCACTCTCTGCAGCTGCCTCAAGGGTGGCYSTGGGCAGGGGGGGTCGGTCTCTCCTCCCAGGCAACAACCGACAGAACGAGAGGATGCAGCCTTAAGCTGCGCCAGGGCAAGTTCAGGTAACACGTTAGAAAAAAATTCTTCCCTGAAACAGTGATTACAAGCTGGAATTGTCCACCCAGGGAAGTGATGGCGTCACCATCCCTGGGTGTGTTTAAAAACAGTCTGCATGTGGCACTCAGTACCACGGTTCATTTGATGAGGAGATGTTGGGTCATAGGTTGGACTTGATGATCTTGAAGGTCTCTTCCAGCCCWGTTCATTCTGTGATTCTGTGATACAGTGATTAGAAAAGTCTGAAGATGACAAAGTGACAGTGGCTCCCAAAGCACTTGTTGGCTACCCCCAGGGCTGGCATGGTGCCCTGGCAGCTGCCCCTGGCTTGGGGAGCACCATCAGCAGGGGAGTGAATCCTCTCCTGCTCCTTTCATGGAGAAAGGGAGTGATGCCCTGCTGCCCACACAGCCCCACACCAGGATGGGGCTCTCTTGCTGACTTTCCTATGGGGACAAACTTTGGGGAAAAGGGCAGTCCTRGAGGAAAGGACAGGCTGGGGAAGAGCCCTTGGCCCTGTAATTAAAAGTTGCTGATTGACAGCCAGCTCCCTCTCCAGTGAAGGAAAAAACAGCCCTGGGGTTGCTTTCTCTGCTGCAAGTTTGKCTTGTGGTTTTTCAAACAACACAGATTTCCACAAGCTTAATAACATTTTATACAGCATTCTGGCATTTGGCACAGGGTCTGAGAGTTCAGGTCAACCTTAATCCACTGCATATCCCCGCAGCCTCAGAAAGTGATGCCTTGCAGTCAGATCAACTCCTGCAGCTGGAAGAGCAATAATAAAACATTACATTAAGGTATATCAGCTGTGTGTAGAGATCAGAGTGCATCTGCTGTGTTGCAGATAGCACCCTCTAAGAGAAGACTAAAGACAAATGGAGTGTTTTAACAAAGGATCATGTTAAAGAAAGGCAGAAAAGAGAACACACAGYATTTAGATTTGCTTTGTTGTAGAACTCCCTCAGAAAGCAACAAGTTCAATATTTATAATTCAAGAAGGTAGGCAGCAGCTCACTTTGAATTCTAAGAGCAGGGTCTGTGACAAATTCCTGCAATTAAATGTTCAGGCTGCTCAGGCTGATGAAGAGARAACCATTAGCTTTCAGGGAACAAGACACAAACCCAGAAGTCCGTGAGCTCTTCCATCCCACCTTGCTACACTCTGCTGTATGTCTTACCTGCTAGGTAAATACTTTTGCAAATGCCCTAAGAGCCCTTTCCCACAAAAAAAAAA